GCGGGTCCGAGCCAGGCGAGGGGCTTCGGGGGGCGTCCGTCTTCCGGCGGCGGCAGCGACGCGGGCGCCCGGCTGCTGGGGAGAGGAGTCGGGGGGGAGCCCTGAGCCGCCCGCCGCCGCTGACAGCATGGCTCGCGCCCGGGCTCACATTCTCCGCCGCCAACTCCGCTGGACGCGGCCCCCGGCGCCCGCGGCGCCCCCACCTCGGCCACTCCGCGGCTCTCCTGCGCCCCCCGCGCCCCCCCGCGCGCCACACTCACAGCCCTGGACACCCCCGCCCCCACCCCCCAGCGCAAACCTGGGAGGGAACGCGCCCCGCGGAGTCCTCCTCCTGCTCCTCCTCCGCCCTCCTCCCTCCCTCGCGGCTGTCTGTCTGTCTGTCTGTCTGTCTGACTGTCCCTACCGCTCGCGCTCGCGGTCTTTCTCTGCTCTCCGAGCTGGGTGGGAAAAGGAAATGAGGACAGAAAGCAGACGCTGGCTTTGGGTGGTGGTAGCTGGATCCTCTCCCCCTCCCCGCCCCTCCCTCCCCCTGCCTTCTGCTCGCGCCGCGAGCGGGGCTGAGCGCAGCCTGGCGGGTGGCTCCTCTGCCCGCCGCCGCCCGCCCGCCCGCCCGCCCGCCTGTCTGTCTGTCTGGTCTGCCTCGCTCGCTCGCTCCCGCCCTCCGTCTCTCGCCCTCGCCCTGCCTGCCTGCCGCTCTCCGTCTCCGCCGCCGCCGCCGATGCCTCTGCGAGCTCGCCTTACCTTCGCCGCTCACCATCCGGAACCCCAGGGGGGAGCGCGCGCGCGGCACGCCGGGACTTGTAGTCCCCGCCCCGGCCGCTCGGCGCGCGGGGCGGGCGGGGCGGCGCCCGCGGCTCCGACGGCGCGGCCCGCGGCCCGCGAGGACCCGGCCCCCCCGGCCCCCGCGCGGGGCGCGGCCCCGCCGGCCCGAGGGTGCTGGGAGACCCTCGCGGTGGGAAATGTTTCCCACGTCCCTGGCCCCCCGCGCGGGGCTCTGGCTCGAGCGGAGGTTGCGGGTGGGAGCGAAGGGGCGGAGTCTGGGAATGGAATGAGAGTCGAAGAGGGAATCCAGGGATGAGCCCAAGGGCCGGGGACTTTCTGGGGCGCCCCAGTTAAAGGGGAGAGGAAGAGGAGAGACAGACTGAGGACCGGCTGCGTGAATTGGGGGATGCTCTCCCTTTCTGAAAAGCTTTGTTGAGGCAAGCGCTAGCTAGGGCCGCAGGGCTGTTCCAGAAACCCTAAACCCCACCAGCGCCTCCTCCTCCTCGCGCAGGGGCTCAGATCTCAACCTCTGAGCTCTGGGTTAAGCCCCTCCAACGCCTAGTTTTCCTACAAGTCCAAAGGCACAAAAGTCCTGGATAATAACAGATAGCACTCAGCGCCCCCCCCCCCCCCCCCCCGCCCCTCTTCCCGAATTCGACAGATCCTTTTCTGGTGTCAGGAAGCACGACTGGATTCAACAGTTCAGAGCGCCTGCTGTGGCCAAGGGGCTGGGCTCAGCACTTTTGCCTACCTCCTCTACAGGTCACATCTGTTATCCAGCCCCTAGCTTTGGGCCCCCTGCCTGGCCAATCCCCACAGATGGGAATATGCTTGGCCAGGGCCTGGTTACAAGGGGAGGTAGGTGGACAGCCCAGGAAGAACTGCTGCTGCCTCCGTTTACTAGGTGCCACAGGGCCCTTGAGTCTTGCAAAAACCTGGTAAAACGAAACTGTTCTCTTTTCCATTTTAGAGGTGAGGGCACTGAGGCCAGGTCCCCCAATTAAGAATTTGACAAATGTTAACTGAAGTATGCAGGGTTCACAGGGGACAACTAGATGAATAATGTGTGGTCACCGTCCTGTCTCAGTGTCTACCAACAACTGACTTGACTGGTCTTTGACTAGTTCCCCGTCATCTATGTGTCTGACATTCCTTTGCCTGGTGGGTGCCTGCTGGCTTTGTCTGTCTTGCCCCCTATCTGAAGTTCTTCCAGCAGTGCCTTTGTCCTTGGCCCTTCTGTTTCTGACTCTTCCTTTGACTCTGCAAGGTGATGACCAGCCTATGGCAAAGGCAGGTAAGTGACATTTTGCCAATTGCAGCTCCCTGCACTATCTTCCTTGCACTGCCAATCCTCCCCAAACCCCTCCTTAACTGTGCTCTGAAACCCCCAGAGGGCAAGACAGGGACTCTCCATTGTTCCTTTGGGGGGTTGGGGTGTCAGCAATGGGAGAAGTCTAGGGTGCTTAACAGTACACCTGTTGATCTGGCATCATTGGGCTGGCACGGCCAGCTGGAGAGGCCCCTATTTGGGAGCAATTTCCCCTTGCAGGCAAGATAGGTCGTGGGTTCAAAGATGTGTTATTGAATGGGAAGTATTATGAAGTCAGACATTCATGAAAGCAGTGTTTAAAATTGTCAGGGACCCTTTGCAATTCCAAAGTCCCAGCCTAAAATGACCACTTATAGATGAGGCTTTGGCATCTTGCCCTAACTGCCCCCACCCCCACCCCTTTAAACATTATGGAAGGTGGGAAAGGCCTGGATTGCTCTTTCTTTTATACTATCCTCCCCCCAAGATAAACAACCTTATCATTAGGCTCCCCAGGGCACCTTCTAGTCTGAAGCAAGTTTGGGGAGGAAGTTGGTGGGATGGCTTCAGTGAGATAGGGAGCCCCAAATCTTGATGAAGGGCAAAGTAATAGGACCCGTGGCTCCATGAATGAGAGCAAAAAAGAAGTTAAGTAGTATTTTCCCAGCATGTCCCTCCCCTTCCAGGCTGCTTCAGCTGCCTCCTCCCCAAAGGTGTATACTGTTAGCCCCCAAAGTGTTTGGCATCACTGGAAAGCAAGAATTGCTGGGTTTCCCTATCATTTGGGGGCTAATTTTTCTCTTGGAGCCTCTCAGAAATTGTAATTGGTTGGGGGGGGGTGACTCCCCAAACTCCAGTGAGTCGTTCCGTGGGCTGTTGCTGCCACCTAGTGTCTAATCTCCATATCTGCTTCTGCAACTGGAGTATAGAGAAGGCTGGCGGACCAGTCCTTAAAAATGTTGGCGTCACCACCTGTCTGAGCAGGGTATCTGAAAACTCTGGGAGAAAATAGATTTGAGGGAGAGGACTCATGTTCTGGAAGATCCTGCATCATTCCTTTTCTGGGCTCAGTTAATTCCAACCACTTTGTGTCCAGGGAAGCAGAAATTGGTATAACCAGACAAGGAAGCCTCCGTGAGGGTGTAGAGATAAAATCATAAGGCCTAAGGGTTTGGAAGCCATGTGGGATGAAAACCACCCAGACCTGGCTCTGATTCTGCTTTTATTTGTGTTCTTAACCTCTTTGCATCTCAGTCTTCACTTCACGTGTATAAAATAGAGACGTAATCCTACCCCTAAGTTACAGGCAGGATTGTTGAGCAGATTTACTGAGTACACAGATATGAAAGCACTTGGAAGGCTGGCAAGGGCATGCTGTGGGATGGTTGAGTTATGATGATAATAATAATGGCAGTAACTGAGAGGTCACAGTGACCTGGGGCCAGGCCCCTGGGGCTCACAGAAAGGTCTGAGTGAATTGAGTCTTGGCCAGGGCCAGCACTACCCTCCTTGACTACCTATGTTCTAGGGCTGGCCCCACTCTTGGGGGAGGTGTGAATTGTTGGTGTGGTTCAGCCCAGTCCACAGAAGGGGAAACTGAGACTGAGATGTTTGGGCCTACCCTAAGGCATTGAGCTACAGATCCAGGAATAAGAAGCCCATTGGACTGGAGCCATTATGGCCCTGGTTTTCCCTCCTCTGGATGAGAACAGCTCCAAGCTGGGGCCCAAGAGACCAAGGAAGCAGGAAGCTCCCCCTTATTGTTGGTACAGTGGGAACTAAGGCCCCCAGGCCCCCATTATCCCTCCTCCTGGGTTGGCCCCTCTTCCCTCCACTCCCCCCAACCCCTGCAAGTCCTCCCACATTCCTCCAGGCAACAGGAAACCCCAGCTGCAGCCCAGACTTCAAACAGCTCCTCCCTTTGGGCAGGGGGTGTGGGAGGAGAGGCCAGAGGCCAGAGGGCAAAGGTCAGCTTTGTTCCTGCCGTAGGTGGTGAGGGACCAGGGGAGAGAGAGGGGGCAGGGTAGGGCCCTTGACAGCCACACCGCATGTGTGTGAATTCCTATGTCCATCAGGGTGTGCGTGGTTCTCACTGTTAGCCCGTATCTGGGGTTAGTAAATATGTGACCTCAATTTCCTTTGAGCTCATGGACCTGAGCTGTGTGTCTGAGTGTATATTGGTGCGTGTTTGTGCGTGCCCCGTCTGGACTCCCCCTGACGTGTCTGCGGGTGTCATCTTGTGGAGGTATATCTAGTTCTCAGACCTCATCAAAGCTGTGTTTCCCCCTTGAGTGTGACCTGAGGTGATTGTTTGTGTCCAGGAAGGGTGTCCTCTCTTACCTCTTCCTCTCCTAATCTTTCTGTCAGTCAGCTAGTCACCAGAGGGTTCCTTCTGAAAAGTGAATTTGACTTTATTATTCCTCATTCCTAAGCCCAGTCCCAAGGCTTAGAATCTTAGCCCAAGTGTATGCAGACAAGACCCACGCCCACTTCTCCATCTTCATCTTTAACCACTTGACCCCCCCTCAAACTTTACACTCCAGTCACACCTACCTAATTGCAACTCCCTGCAGGGTCCCATTTCCTGCCTCTGAGCTCACTTAATTCTGTTGAGTCTGGAATGCTTTTCTCTTGCTTCTTTATGAAGCCAACTTTTACTCCTTTTTTAAGTCTCTGGTGAAGCAACACCTCTGTAGAGAAGCCTTCCAGACGTCCCCCTGCCAGTTGAGTTAGGACCCTACCCTGTTCCCAAACACACCCTGTGTTGTCATGTTCTGCCTGTGTCTGGGACCTTCATCCTCATCATCATTAATCTGTGAGCTCTGTGAGAGCAGGAAGCGTGTGTCTCCCGTCCGGCGGTGGGAAGGCTCTGCAGGGACCTGGTCCTCTCCCTCCCAGGAGAAAAGTTTCCTGCAGGTCTGGCTGTAGTACCCACAGCAGCCACCAGAGAGAGTGCGGACCCCACTGCAGGACCATCAGGTTCTGTGGTGTGGGGTGGTGGTGGGTGTGGATGTGTGTGTGGAATGGCTGGGATGGATGGGGGTGGGAGACAACTACTGGGGTGGATAGTGGGTCCACCCAGGTCGGTACTATAGCAGTAGGACCAGGATACACCCATCCCCCAATAGGTCTGCACCCCACACCCAATTTCTTCTCAATGACTTTTTTCCTACAACTCAGGAGTCATGTTTCTTAGTCCCTGACCCTCCTACCTCTTGCCTCTGACCCACCAACCTTCTTCCATGTCTCATCTGTACCTTCAACTCTCCCATACATAATTATTTGTATTTGGCTGACTTGACCTTGCTCTACTAATACCTTTGGGCCTTTGCACATGCTGTTCCCTCAGTGGAGATGATCTCACCCTCTGGTGCTTTGTCAGGCAGACTTTTCTTTCACATTCTCCAAGAAGTCTCCCTTGGTCTCCAGACCGACCTTGTCCTAAGTGTTGTAATTATTTACTATTCTGTCTTCTGGGTAGGGTCAGTCTATAGGAGACATCAGTAAATGTGTGTGAAATTAAAATTAAATAAATTATTTTGCGGGTATAATCCTCAGCATGTGTGAGGCCACCCCAGCCCTCTGTCTGCACCATGTCCTCCCTGGACCTGACTCTAGGTTAGTTTTGTGCTTTTCTAGGCTGTGCCATCCAATAAGGGGATGTGACACAGTGAGATACATGAGACTTTGAAGTCACACAGGCCCGGGTTTGGATTCTGACTCTGCCATCCAGCTGTATGACCTTGGGCAAATGTTGTAGCCTCTCAGTCTTTATTGCTTCTTTTGCAAAACAGGAATAATCACACTTCTGCACTGCTCGTGGTGAGGATCAAATTAGATGATGCATATGAAACACCCACTTTTAGTCAGTTAGGTATCCTCCTCCCCTACCATGAACTTGGAAGTAAAATTGCCCTCTGAGCCTTAAGCCAGTAAAATCCACGCATCACGGAGGAGAAGAGCCAGGTGGGGGAGTGAATGAGCCGAGAGATGGTTTTGTAAACGACTGAAGAGTTTTGTGAACAGTAACGGTGGAAACCGCAATCAAGGTGACCCGCCTGTAATCTCAGGGAGGCAGGGCGAGGATGTGATTGAAATTGAGAAAACAGAGGCCTAATCAATTGCATTGTGCTCTATCTGAAGGGAACAGAAGGATGCACAGAAAAAGGGGTCCAAGGGGGAATTCATCCAGCTGCACCAGAGGGAAGGACAGGGAACCAGGAGATACAGGAGTTCCAGGCACAGGTGGTGCTGATCTCTGCTGAGAAGCAGTGAGGGCCTGGTGGCCTTTGCTTAAACTAATGAGTGTCCAGGTAGCAGGCAGAGCCCCATGGGGCAGACAAGAAAATTCTAGCCTCAGGAAAATCCTAGAGAGGCTGAGAGCACTGATTTTGGAGTCAGAGGACCTGGTTCAAGCCCCAGCTCTGACATGTCTGTCCTACTTATGACACCTAAGTCTTATTTACTTCACTGTGCCTCAATTTCCTAATTAATAAGATGAAAATTCAACAGCTTTGCCCTCAGACGGTTCTGTGAAGATGAAATGGGAACATAGGCTTAGCAGGATGCTGGCACAGACTAAATAACTGCAAATGGTAGTGACAAAGATAGCTAATGCGTATTACGCATTTGTTGCCATTTCATAGATGAGGAAATTGAGAGATTAATGATTTGCATGAAATCACACAGCTACTGAGTGGCGGAGGCAAGATTCACACTGGCACTAGAGCACCAGAACTGTGCTCTTACTTGCTTATTCCATGGCAGGTGGAAACACTGGTCCTGTGGCTTACACAGCAGGCTCTTGTGAGTTTGGTGGGTCCAGGACAATAGCCCTGGGGAAGCTGTGACCACTGGAAGCTTGAGTGTGCAAAGCTTGAGTATGGCTCTCACCCCTGGGACCAGCTCTCCCTGCAGCCACTTGGCCTCTTTCCATCTTACAGCTTCTGCTCCCCAGCCCAGCCCCAGCCCAGGGCCAAGTGCAGGAAACTCCCAGTCTGCATTGGTCCCCTTGTCCGCTTTTCCTTACGGTCACTCAAGTTAGGGAGTGGTGTTTCCAGGGAATCTTGCTACCAGTATCTAGAAGGCAACTTTCACCCAGGGCAAATACGATCTCTTCCCAAAGCCCAGAGGCAGTGAGGTCTGGTAGCAAAATTGTGGGCCTTGGTGTGAGACCTGGTTTCAAATCCCACCTCTATCACATACATATGTGTGACCTTGGCATGTGTTATTCCTGATATAACCCCTTAACCTCAGTTTCTTCATCTGTAAATGGGGGTTAACATAGCACCAGACTCAAGACTGGATTAAATGAGAAGATAGATGAAAACACATCTGGCATCAGCAGGACAATAAATGGGCTGTTATCATTACGATGATCTCTCCCAGCCTGACTGAACTCCAAGTTTGGGACGGGTCTTGTTCATGTTTGTATCCCAGGAGTTCTGCCTGGCTAAAGGCCCTTCACAGAGTTAATGCTTAGTAATTGTTTACCAATTGCAGCTGATTCCCAGCTCCTCACCTCTTACCCCCATCCACTTCCTTAGTAAGTCAGGGGTCAAAAGCTTCCTGATAAAGGCCTCCCCGGTGGCACAGAAGGTTGAGCACAGCGCATCACAGCTGTCCGCAGTCTCTGCAGTGCCAGTTCAATTCCTGGCTGGCCAGGGAGATACCCACATGGCACGGCAGACCTCTCCTGTCTCACCTGCTGCTCTTCTCAGCAGTGCTTTCGGATCGTCTGCCTGTTCTGTTCCCCACTCTGTCTCTGGTGAATCCTCTCACCCTCCTGCACCTCTGTCCTGTACCCCTGCTCTTGTATAAATAAAATAAATCTTTTTAAAAAAAGTCTCCTGATAAGAGAGGTGGGAATCCTCATTCTCTGTTTGTCTTGTTTCCACACAGAAATAGATCAGCTGCCAGAGTTTCTCAAAGAGGGACCGAGAATTGGACAATTCTTTGTTGCACAGGTGCCTGGCAGATTGTTTAGGTGCCGGCCCCTGTCCAACCTATGCCAGTAGAAGTCCCTGTTGTGACAAAGACAACTGCCTCCAGACCTCCTCAAAAGCCACCTACCTACGGTCAGAGCTGCCCAAGAGAGATCCATTGAGCTAGACTAAAGCTCAGACCTCTCCCCACTACCATACTCTCTTGGGAGCTGCAGTCTTCTTCCATGAGACGAGGTCTGTGGTTGTGCTGCTATCGCTAGGATGAATGGTTAAGCTGCTGAAATCAAGTAAAGAATGAGCAAATCCACTGCACACAGATTGAAAGCCACATTAGTTATGAAGGGGACATTTTGCTCTCCAGTTGCTTGTCTTCTGTATCTATCTCTCAACTTGCCCTAAATTCACATGGGGACAAATATTGGGACGTTTGGGTGCCCTGAAACACACCTGGGGTGATTTCAGGAAGGATTTTTACTCAAGTTATTTTAAATGCTTAATTTATATTCTCATTAAAGAAAACTATGTTCATGATGTCTTTCCTTTTTCTTAATGTTATAATAGAATTTTTATTCAATTTATGAAATAAAGAAATAATTGAGATGGAAAAAACCCACACTTGGGGTACCCTGTGTTTAGTAGGCATTAGGATACTCTCTCACCTTCCCATCCTGCTCCCAATAGATCAGTCTCCCTGCACCCACCAGCATCTCACCTAAAGGAAGGGATTTTCATGGCTCAAAGTTTTACTATTTTTTTTTCTTATTTACAAACCCAGTAAACTTACATGATTCAAAGAGGTGGTGTGCCCTGAGCAATGCGCTCCCACAGTCTTGGGCTGGAACGCCAGTCCTGCACCATGGCTGCCACCCAGCAAGAAAGGGGTCCATCAAAGACGTCTTTGTCTTTGTAACTTTTCTAACTTAATAGACACAAGAGAATTGAGTAGGAGGTAAATTCTGGAGGTCTGCATCAGGGTAGATAATGGGGTAGGAGATGAGTGAGGGCATGGACATATGGTTTTATAAATAACTAGAAAAGTATTTCTTCCAGGGGGAGGGGCAGGGAGGCTAGAGGTGTGTAGGAGGCTAAGTGGGAAGGGGAGAGAGAGTGCTTGGGGTCAGAGTGAGTAAGTAATGATCTCTGGGCCTCCGTTTGCTCCATTTTTAAATTGAGTGGTTTGCCCTAGATGGAGTCAGAACAACCTGTTTGCTGAGACATGCAAGAGCTCTATAGGGTTCTAAGCCTGGGGGCTTTGGGACCAGAGCCGTAGGGATTGGAGGGGGCTTGTGGGTACACCCCCCCAGAGAGGGGATGGGTGTCCAAATAGGCTATGTCTGATCTCCAGGCTGATACTGGGGTTCCGTGGAGGTGAAGTAATCCTCCAGGAAGGACTGCAGGTACTCGAAGGTTGGCCTTTCCTCCGGGTCCAGACGCCAGGTCTGCTCCATGACCTCGTACAGTGACGCCGGGCAAGTTGGAGGACAGGGCATGTGGTAGCCATGCTCCACCTGCTCCAACACTTCCCGGTTATTCATGCCTAGAAGATGGGACTCTGTCAGACAGGAGCTTAGCCTCTTTCAGAGGGATAGCCTGGAGGCCTTTCCCCATAGCCACCCTCCCACCTCACCGCCCTCCAGCGAACCTGGGTAGGGAACTCGGCCCTTGCTGATGAGTTCAGTGAGCAGGATGCCAAAAGACCACACATCTGACTTGATGGTGAATCTGCCAAAGAGGGCAGCCTCTGGGGCTGTCCACTTGATGGGGAATTTGGCTCCTGGAGAGAATGAGGGAGAAAGGAGACAGCTACTTTAGTGAGGGGGTCCCGGGAGGAGCTGGATTAAGAGAATGGGGCCCCGAGGATTGAGGACCCTGAAAATAACAGAAAGGAACTCATATCCAGGCAGCACGTATTATATGTCTAGTATAGTAGTGGGTGCTTGACAAACATTGCAGTAATTCTCATTATAATAACAGCTAACACTTAATGTGGCCTTTTACTCCTTGCCAGGCACTGTTTTAAGAGATTTACATGGGTTAACTCATTTAACCCCCACAAAAGATACTATTATTATTCCCATTGTACGGATGCAGAAAGGGAGGCACTGAGTAAAGTAACTTGTCCAGATCACAGCTTATAATTGGCTAGGATTCCTATCCAGGCAGTCTGGCTACCGAGTTCACATTATTATGTCCTATTGCTTTCACTTGGAGAATTATAGTGGTACCTGGCACACAGTAGGTGCTTAATATCTGTTGACTTACTGTTGTTTGAACAGAAGAAAAAAGAGCTCACAGACTTGCTCAAAGCCCCATGGCTGGTAAGGGAATGAGCCGGGACCTGAACCCTCTCACACTACATCAGGATTGGGGTGTTCCTGATGGGCTGGGGCAGGGAAGGGTGCCTGAGTATGAGGGCCCCAAAGCAACCTCTTGGTGAATGGGGGAGCCCTTGGAAGGTGGGGTGAGGCAGGGCACCTTGTTGGGGGTTGTACTCATCATCCTCGATGAGACGGGCCAGCCCGAAGTCGGCGATCTTGCACACCAGCCGGTCTCCCACCAAGATGTTGGCTGCTCTCAGGTCTCGGTGGATGTAGTTCATGCGCTCCATGTAGGCCATGCCCGCAGCAACCTGGGGGGCCAAGGTATAGAGAGACAGGAAACACCAGGGCTTGTGAAATAATTCTTTGAAAAATTCACTTTCCAGATGAGGAGACTAAGGCCTCCAGAGAGGCAGTGCCCTGCTTCAGGTGGCCCACCTGAGGTGGTGGGTGGGGCTGCTCTTCCAGGGTTGGCTAGGTGTGTAGGGGGGAAAGGGATTTGTGGAAAGTTAATAGGAGGGGAATCTGAGAGATGAATCCTGCTCTTCCAGTTTACCTGGGCTGCCATGTCCACCAACTGAGGCAAACTCAAATTCTGGCCCTCCTGGTCCTTGAGGAAGTCCAGCAAGCTACCTGGGGAGAGAAACCAAGAAAATCAGACTCCGCCCCAGATGCCTTCCTCCTCACAGAGGCCGCCTCCACTCTCCCAGAACCCACCCACCCGCAGACCTGCGCCTCCACTCTCAGCCACCTTCACTGTCCGGCTTGGTCCCCAGACCCAGGCCCCGCCCCGTCACCCACACTCCGCTGGTTTCACTCTTTGCGACTCTCAGTTCCTCTCTTGGACTCTGCCCTTTGTCCCTCATCCCCTCACAGATCACCCCCTATTTCCCTCTCCCGGAGATACACACCCTCATTTTGCCTCAAATTCTGCCCACTCAGATTCCGCCTGGGGCCGTGACCCTTACCATGGCTCATGAACTCGGTCACGATGTAGATGGGCTCATCTGACACCACAGCATACAGCTGCACCAGCTTGTCGTGCCGCAGCAGCTTCATGATCTGCGCCTCGTCCAGGAAGGCCTTCGGGGCCATGGTGCCCGGCTTCAGGGTTTTCACCGCCACCTTCGTGGTGCCGTTCCATGTGCCTGCCAGGCAGCCACGCTGGTCAGGACCCGCTCCCCATCAACCCGCGCCCCTGTCCAGGCCTGCCCCCGATTCTCCGTACCCAGCCACACGTCCCCGAAGCAGCCGGTGCCCAGCCTGCGCTCCAGTGCAATGGAGTCACGGCTGATCTCCCAGGCGTCCTTGGCCAGACCCAGCGTCTGCGGCTTCACGGTGGTGCAGGCAGCCGTGAGCAGGTGGCACAGCCCATCATTGACCTCTGAGAAGCAGGGCGTGGTCACAGGTGGGCCAGGGCACCCGCATCATTCCCCATCCCACTACAGTCCCCAAGATCAGGTATAAGGAGTTAGGCCAAAGGTGGGGTCACAGGCCAGCTCAGAAGGCCCACTGACTAAAATGAACCTGCTGGTACCCAGGGACAGAGGGAGCAACAAGAGGGAGGGAGAACCTTGTAGGATTGCAGGCCATCCCACAGGAGGGGGCCTCCAGCTCACAGGGCCTCCAAGGAGAATGGAGGATTCTGATAGGTGGAAATGGGATTGGGGATTTGAGACAAAAGTGTGGATGTGAGACCCTCACGTTTCCACAGACCACAAGGTCTAACTACCAAAAGCAGAAACCTGGGGCCTCCCCGGTGGCGCAGCGGTTGAGCGCTGGGTTGCGAAGCTGCCCGCAGCCTCTGCAGCACCGGTTCGATCCCCGGCTGCTCCCCGGCCACCGGAGGAGGGTCCCACATGGCGCGCAGACCTCTCCTGCCGCCCGCTGCTGCCCTCAGCAGTGTACCTCGGTCCTTCTGCCTGCTCTGCTCCCTGCTCTGGCTCTGGTGAATTCTCTCACCCTCCCGCGCTTCTGACTGTACCCAGTGCTTGCATAAATAAATAAATAAATATTAAAAAAATAATTATTAAAAAACAAACAAACAACAACAAAAAAAAGCAGAAACCTGGGTGACTGTTCCCACCTTCCCCCAGCCCCACAGCCCATCCCGTAAGTCAGGCCTATTCTGCCTCCTACTCAGCTCATACATTAGGGGGTGACCTTTGGCCATGGACAGACTCACACCTCAGTTTCCTCAGGAATCCTAGAGCAGGATCCTGAGCTGGGAGCCCAGTTTAGGCCAGGACACTCCAGACTTGGGACACCCTTCCCCTCCCTGGTCCTCAATCTCAGGGGGTGGCTCACGGATCCGATCAAAAGCTGGGGGCAGGCCTCACCCATGTAATGCTGCACCAGCTCCCGCACTGAGTCGAACTGGGCCCTCGTGGTGATGTAGTAGCCACCCGTGTCCAGCTTGCGGATCTTGTAATGCTTCACGTGGTCGCCTTTGGTCTGGTCCCAGTCCAGGACAGACAGGGAGTAGGCACCTATGGGGAAGACTCCCCTTCAGACTGACATCCCTCCTCACCTCCAGCCTGGTTGCTGGGAGAGGCCCCAAAGGCTGGGGACTCAGACATAGGACGGCTGCATCCCTGAACCCAGTCCCAGCCTTAGTTCTGCCCTCCAACCCTGTCTCAGTCATTGGCCCTGACCCAATGCCCACTCCACAGCTTAGTCCCACCCTAATAGCAGATCCACCCACACTTCCCACCTTTGGTGGTCTCACTCTCTCGAATGAGAAAGGCTCCCCGGGGGTTGCCTGAAGAGAGCAGCTGCCTCTCAGCATCCTTCCGCCCGATCTTTCCAAAATACCACCTGTTGGGAAGGGGATCAAGAATGGGGCTCATTTTTTTTTTTCAATATGTGCCATTCTCACTGGTGTAAGATGGTATCTCATTGTAGTTTTGATTTGCATTTTCCTGATTACAAAAACTAGCAACAACAAATGTTGGCGAGGATGTGGAGAAAAAGGAACTCTCCTGCACTGTTGGTGGGAGTGCAAACTGGTCCAACCACTATGGAGAGCTGTGTGGAGATTCCTCAACCTACTAAAGATAGAGTTTCCATATGATCCAGCAATTCCACTCCTAGGTATTTACCCAAAGGACACAGAAACATCCATTCCAAAGAGCACCTGCACCCCTATGTTTATAGCAGCACTGTTTACAATAGCTAAGCTTTGGAAACAGCCCAAATGCCCAAAAACAGATGACTGGATCAAGAAGATGTGGTACATATACACCATGGAATATTACTCAGCAATCAAAAAAGATAAACACATGCCATTTGCAGCAACATGGATGGCGTTGGAAGGGATCATGCTCAGCAAAATAAGCCAGAAATAAAAAGAAAAATACCGGATGGTCTCACTCATAGCAGGAATCTAGAAAACTTAAATAAGGGACCAGGAAAAAGAATAACTATAAGAAAGAAAATATCAAAATCAACAAACAACTATGAACCAGAGATACTCTATGGGGGGTGGGGGGCGGGGAAAGGAGGGCTTGGGGTCAAAATAAGGGGGTTGTAATTGTATGGGGAATATAAAAATAAAATTTAAATAAAAAACATAAAAAAATTAAATTAAATTAAATTAAAAAAGAACGGGTCTCATGTACATGCAATCTGGCTGTAAGGGTCACAGGGAAGGGGAGTGTAGGTGCCTAGCACACAGCAGGTACCCAAAAACCTGCTTCTCCTCGTTAGGCTTCTCCTCTCCACTTCTCTTGATTTAAAATGTCCAGAACCAGCCTCCCTGGTGGCACAAGGGGTTAAGACGCAACCTATGTCTGCAGCCTCTATAGCACCAGTTCGATCCCCAGCTAGCCAGGAGCTACCCACATGGCGCAGCAGACCTCTCCTGACTCGCCCGCTGCTCCCCTCAGCAGTGTACTTTGGTCAGCACACCTGATCAGTACGCCTGTTCTGATCAGTACTCTGTCTCTGGGTGAATCCTCACACCCCCTCGCCACCCACTCCCAGCACCTCTGGCCTGTACCCCAGTTCTGGTATGCATACATAAATAAATCTCTTTTTTAAATAAATAAATCTTTAAAAAAAATAAAAATAAAATTGCCAGAACCCCAGTCACCAGCCATCGGATCAGGGAGCGGCTGGCTCCTCATGCATCTCAGTCCCACTCCCCGAGGGGCCTGTTTCAGGCTCAGAGAGGTAAAGTCACCTGCCACAAGGCTGGCTGATGAGCTCAACCTGCAGCCCTTTGCGGGCCCTCAAGTTCTTTTCCTTCCCCAAGCCGCCCCTCAGATCCCTCTCCCCAAAGGACAAGTGAACCCTTTCCACCTTTGCTTCCAGAATACCATCCTTTCCCGCTTCTCTCCCACCCTTCTAACTTCTCCTTCCTGGCTGGGATTGCTACTTTTTCTCCACTCTTTTATTTATTTTTTTTTTTCATTTTTTTTAAACTTTATTTATTTATTTTTTAAATAATAAATTTTATTTTTATATTCGCCATACAATTGCAACCCCCCCATTCTGACCCCAATCCCTCCCCTCCCGCCTCCCACCCCCCAAAAAGTGTCTCTGTTTCATAGTTTTTTGTTGATTTTGATTTTCACTTTCTTATAGTTATTCATCCACTCTTTTAAATTTGGATACTGTTTCAATTCTCAACTTCAACCTCAGGGCCGTCTGCCTCTCTGCTATTTCTTGAATATTTTTTCTGCCGCCCCACTATAGTCTTAAACCAACTGTAAAAGGACATTGGGGGTGTTGAAGGGGCAGCGTGCTGTGGAAGATTCAGATGCAGCCACATCACTAAAGTGCTCTGTGACCATCTTGGGCTGAATTAAAAGGGGTACAGCTTTCATCAAAGGAGGTGGCAGACTTAGTAAAGTCTGAGAGTGTCAGTCTGGTGTTGGGCGCAATTTAGGCGACTGAGGAAGGCATTGGCAGGTGGAATGTTCAGGAAATGAAACAAGAAAGGACGAATTGTTGAAAGACCGTGTAGACAGGACACATTCTTGAGTTTTTTCCAAACCCTATCTCTGCCCCCTGCCCCCCGTGCTATTAACTATTTTCTTAACAATTAATATAAATACAGCAGCACTTATTTTGTGTCAGGCTCTGCTCTAGTACATATATTTATTCATTTAATTCTTATAACAACACGGTGAGGTAAATACTATTATTAACCCCCATAAGACAGATGAGGAAATTGAGATACCTGGTGGTTAAGCAACTTGCCCAAGGTCACTGGGCTCTTAAGCTGTGTTGCCAGAATAGGAACCCAAGCTGTCTGCTCGAGGCTTGCACTCTAACCACGACATTGTTCTTAACTCAGCACTGCACGGACTCGACCTCAGAGCTTCCTGGCGCTGCTCCCAACTGTGGACACCAGCATGAACCCCTCAAACCTCCTGCCCTCTGCATCATCACCCCTCCTCTCCTCCATGCCTCCTGCCACTCTCCACAGATGCAGGCCTCATCCACTTGAGCTCTGGACCCTGTCCACTCCTCTCTCTCAGAGACACCTCTCCCCTACCCATCGCCACACCCCGCCATTCTGCAGCTTTTCTACCTCGCCAACCTCTACATATGCCCACATTTCTTCCTTCCCTAAAGGAAAGGGTTCCACGCTCTGTCTTGCCATCAACATTCTGCTATATCTCTCACCTTTCCTTCCCTTGAAAAAGCACTTCACACTTGAGTCTCCACTTCCTCACCTCCTACTCCCTCCCAGGCTCTGCTGTCTGGCCTCCACCCCCACTTCACAAGGAGAGATCTCTCACCAAGGTCACTCCCATTGCCAAATCCAGTGACACTACCTCTCTTATTTCCTGAAACTTCTCCACCCTCTTGGCTCTTCTGAATTGGCCTGCCCTGGTTTTCCAGGCTTTTCCCCATGGCTCCTTCTCCTTCGAAGGCAACTTTCCCCAAAGTTGGGTCCTAGGGTTTTCTCACTCTCTGCCTCTTCCTTCACCCTCCTCTGCAGCTTTAATGATCAGCTCCATTCTGAAGAGTTCCTAGTTTCATTGCAAGAGCCACAGCAACGAACTAAAAACCTGTGCCAATTAGAAGATGCCCCCTCCTCCTGGCTATTTCAGGGACAAGGCTTGACATGGGCTGGTCCCGTCTTATCCAGAACATAACTTAATCAAATGGCAGGCAACCTCCTCCACCTGGGTGTTCCTTTCCACGAACCTCAACTCAAGAAGTCCCACTAGGATCCACGTACCTGTAGCTGCTCCTGTGTCCACCACTCTAGCAAATGGCCTCCCCTCCCACTCAGCTCCTCCACTGTGCATCACTCCTGATGCCTCTCACTCCCTAAAGCCCAATGGCAAATCAGTCACCAAGTCCTGGTGATAGGTGATAGTCCTACTGCCACTCTGCAGTCTCTGCAGCCCTTTCTTTTCCCATATATGATGTACACGTGAGGAGAAACAGTCAAACATCCATGAGCCTCACCTTCCTCATCTGTAATGTAACGGCAGTAATCACATCAACAGTGTCATTGTGAGAGTTAGATGAATCAAGGTAAGGTAACTGTTCTAAGTATCTCCAGTATATAAAGATACTCCACCAATGATAATTCCCTGCCTTCTTAAGAGAATTAATTGTGGGCCTCCCTGGTGGCGCAAGGGGTGAAGCACAGCACTATGAAACTATCCACAGCTACTGCAGCATGGGTTAGATCCCAGGATGGCCAGGGAGCTATCCGCACGGTGTGGCAGACCTCTCCTGTCTCATCCGCTGCTCCCCTCAGCAGTGTATTTCAGTCAATCCTCCTGTTCTGTTCCCTACGCTGTCTCTAGTGAATCCTCTCACCCTCTGTACCTCTGGCCTATACCCTGGTTCTTGTATGCATAAATGAATAAATCTTTTTTAAAAAGAGAACTAATTGTAAGTGATGCCACCCTGCATTTACATAACACCTTACAAGATATTTTAAAGCTTGAAGACTGCTGTTATCACCAAGGGGTAGTATGTATAATGCTTGGGAAATACAGCCGGAAATGCAGCTTAGGAAATGCAGACTGAGTTCAAACACACCAGCTCCATCTACTTACTGGCCATGTGAACTCAGGCAGAATATTTAATTTCTCTGTGCCTCAGTTTCCTCATTTGTAAAAGAGGATAATATTAGTTCCTAACTCCATTAATATACAGAAAGCATTTTGTGCAAACAAAAAAAAAATAGAAAAATAAAAGAAAAACAAAACAAAACGGAAAGCACTTTGAATAGTAACCAGAACACGGTACAAGCTAGATGAGTACCAGCGATCATTATTAGCCTCATTATCTTCTTTTATTCTTACAATAACCTTCAAAAGTACAGACAAGGAGTCAGGCTCAGAGTCTCCCCAGTGGCGCAACGGTTGAGTGCTGGGCTGCGAAGCTGCCTACAGCCTCTGCAGCACCGGTTCGATCCCCGGCCCTCAGCGAGGGTCCCACATGGCGCGCAGACCTCTCCTGCCCCCGCTGCTCCCCTCAGCAGTGTACTTCGGTCCTTCTGCCTGCTCTGCTCCCCGCTCTGGCTCTGGTGAATTCTCTCACCCTCCCGCGCTTCTGACTGGAGCCAGTACTTGTATAAATAAATATATATATATATATATATATATTTTTTTTTAAAGGCGTTAGGCTCAGAGTGCAGCTGTGATGTGCCTGAGAGGTGGTTGGAATCTGGACTCCCAGGTCTTGTCCATAAAACTGGCCTCTCCCCACCCCTACTCACTCTTCAGCCTGGATGGAGTCCACAGGGGCCACGTAGTTGCTGGGAATGTAGCCAGTTTGTCCAGAGCTGAGGGACCGCGCCTCCCACCAGTCACCCTCACTGCAGGTACAAAATGGTGGGTGTCAGTGGGTGTCAGCTTCTGGGAACCCTGGGGTCAGGCAGGGCCACAAAGAAGATCGGGGGAGTGTGATTCTGCTAACCCCTCATCTAATACACCCACATGCCCCCGTCCCCCTGGTTCCCGTCTGTGCTGCCCCCATCCACTGTTACTAAAGGCCTAGGAGGACTTTTCCCTGCAAAAGGAATATGTTTAAGGACATCTTCTGAGCTTTCTGGTTTCCTCCTCTGGCTTCTCAGCTGGTCTGGAGTTTGAGCAGGCAGTGGACAGCTAACTAGGTCACTTCCTTACTGAAATCCTCCAAAGACTATCCATTTCCTGGTGGATAAAACCTAGGCTACTCGACATGGCTTCTTAAAAAGCCCTGCAGCATCTGCTCCCACCCACTTTTCTGGTTTCTGTTTTCTCTGTTCTATACCTTGTACTTTATGATCCATCTAAACTGAACCACTTGGTTTCCAAAAATTACCATTTATTCTCATTCTCTCTCTCTCTTCTTCTTTGCTCACCTTCTCTTTCAATGTCTGTTCATTTTTCTAGTTTCAGTTTAGAAATCACCTTCTCCAGGAAGACTGCCCTGATCACCACTGCCCTAGGATCATATTTGGTATTATGTCTTCATATTTCCTCCTGCTCCCCTTAATTAGTAGCAATCACCCCAGGTTGTAATTGTCATATATTTGTGTCCCCAATGAGGCTGGAGCTTTCTGAAGATGGGTACCATGTAGGATTTCTCTCTGGGTACAGCTTGCGGCCCAGGCTTGGTGGCCCCGTCACTTACGTATTGTTCAGGATGTGAAACTTCTCGCCTTTGGTGAAGGTAAGGTCATCATCTGTTCGGGCCTCATAGTCATATAGGGCAATGAACATGGTCACCCCAGTCCCTGCAGAGTTAGGGCTATTTAGCACAGTAGGGCACTGAAGAGGTGGCACCAAGGGGGCTGCACCCCCAGAATCCTGTTCCTCAGCCAGGTCCTATATTTCTCTACCACGGTGGTCCCCTTGTTCTCCAAGGCCTTTGGAGTCCAGTGGGTTTATGATTTGGGCTTCAGAGCTTGGCCCCCCCCATCAATTCAGGACACATACCTTCAAATCCACCCCTTGTACCCCGGGTAGTCCCCAGGTTATCCACTTCTCTTCCCCACCAAGAAGACTTCCCACCTGGGAAGTGGCACCCAGGAGGCCAAGAGGGTTCTCTTTATCACTTGTATCTGTCACCAGGGCCCCTCTCTGACTGGGATCGGAGCTAAGTCTTCCCCTCAGAGGGTCAGGCTGTATGTGTGCCCTCGGACTGCATGCTGAGAGCAAGGCTGTGTCGCCCACGTCCTACTGGAGAACTCTAAGGACAAGTCTGTGTCTCCCCTCCCCCCAGGTTCTCCCAGGGTCTGGGCAGTGCCTGCCTCCCTCTGGACTCACCTGAGATGCCTTTGATATTGCCCCCATCAAGGAAGGTAGGGTTGGTGGGCTGAGAGAAGTTGTTGTAGTTGGGGATGTGGGCAGAGGAGGCCACAGGCCGGGCTTGAGTAGGGTCTGGGCCATAGCGGTCTGCAGCCCCCTGGTCCCTGAAGTCCTCTTCCAGGCCAGCATCCTCCTTGAGCCCTGGCTCTGACTTCTTGCAGGACACACAACCCATTCCGGGTGCCCTGCTACGGAACGGGGAATGCCTCACTTAGGGGCCCCATTGTTCCCCCCCCACCACATGCACACACACAAACACACAAACACAGGCAGGCAGCTTCTCCTCTCAGACCTGGGGTGGAAGAGTCCTCCCTAGTGAGGAGCAAAGGTGGGGCAGGACCAGCGCTGGGCCTGCCTCCCACTGCCTCAGTGTTTGGAGAGTCCTCACGGCCTCAGGGAGCCTGGTTTTCTGTTTTAGGATGTTGTTGTGTTTGTTTACATATTTTTGCCTCCTATTGTTTCAGTTGTATTTCAATGAATCCTTCACAGTGTGTGTGTGTGTCTTTTGTGTGTCTCTAAGTATTTGTGAGTTTGCGTACGTGTGCGCACGTGCAATCCTTTGTGAATATCTGTGGGTGCACAGCTCTACATGTGGTGGCTAGCTTGTGTATGTCTGTATGAGTGTGTGTTTATGTGTGGGGTTTTTTTGCTAGTGTATATGTATATGTGTTTTGGTCTGTGTGTATCTGTGTGTGCAGGTCTGTGTGACAAAGTGTGTGTGTGCGTGTCTGTTTGTATGTGCGTGTGTGTGTGTGAGGGCTGTGTGCCTGCACCTGGAGAATCCCCGCAGAGGGGGATCAAGGCCATTTCCTGTCATGGGTCCAGCCTCTGGCCTCTCAAGCTGCCTCATTCTGTCTCCCCCATCTGTTACCTAGCAACAGGGCCCTGGTAGGAGGAAGGGGCTGTGAGGAGCTGTGGGGCCCAGGAAGGCTGCCCCCACTGGTTTCCTGACCCTGAAAGCCCACAGTTGCCACTCACCCCTCAGGCCCCTGCTCCAGGGTCAGTGGAACTGTGGCATGGTCCTTGGGAGGGGCCGGAGACCTGAGGGCGAGACAGAAGGACATGGGGGATGAAGGCTCTGCCAATGTTCCTGCAAGCCAGCTGCCCAGCTCCTGCCCTCTTCAGGAAGCCAAAAGGCTGGGCTCTGCCCCAGCATGACTTCTGTCTGCATTTTCCTTCCCAGCACCCCTGGCATACTTACACCTCCACTTTCACACAGGACCCCACCCCCCACAGCAGTTCTCTCACACTCAACCCACCTGACACACCAGCACACAGTCACACCAACATGGTGCACACGAATGAGCGTGCTCACCAACACCTCCACACACAACTGCAAGCTAACTCTTTTATATGAGCCCAAGCTCTGACACACAGTAACATGCACGTACGCACACATACACCTACGCACACAGACTGCCTCTCAGGTTAACAGACTCACACACTTGGACACTCGTATTTTCACGATAGGCCCATCTCTCTGATCGGACTCCCCTCACACCACACTCACTCACAGGCTGCCAGTCACTGTCTCCTGAAAACAAGCCCTTCCGTGGCCCTGGCCTCTGTGCGCAGCCTGGACTACACCTACCTCCAGAGCTCTGCTCCTATCCCACATTAAGGACAGGCCTGGGTCAGAGGCAGGGCCACCTGGGTCCCCTGGGGAGCTCCCTCGAATGAGCCAACCCTTTCCTGGTAGCTGAGTCCTCTGAGTGATAGGGCAGGCAGGCCATTGAGCAAGGGTTCACCCAGCCCCACCAGAAACTCCCCCATTGCGACACTCAGAGAGGAACTGTGGGGAGAGGGCTCTATTTCCTAAGATGAAAGAGGGATGGAGTGTTGAAGGGTAGGGTCAACCCAGTGAACCCTGATTTTTCTCAGAGTGGCTGAAGGTCTTTGGGAAAGATGACTCTGCCGTGACTTTCTCAACCCCCAAGTCCAGTTCCCTTCACGGAGAGCCCCCTTCTCTCTGAGTCCTGCTGTTTCTACCCAGCACCACTCACCTCTTCCCAGAAGCCTCCTGGATCCACCAGGTCCAGCTGCCTAACTGAAAGTTGTGTTAGTCAGTGCCCTGACCCCCCACTTCAGCCCCACTAGCCCCCCTTCATCCTTCTCTATAACTGTTCTCCGTGTGTGTTGGAGGGTGGTAACACCTACGTGGTGAACTGTGAGGCGGGCTGTGGTGAGAGGCCTGCCCTAAAATAGCCCCTGTTCACCAAGCCATTGCTGAGATCTTCACCCCAGGACCCCTCCCCTGGGGTAAAACCACCGTGTCTGAGAGGTACCAGGATGCTTCAGGGAGGTTACGGCCAGGGAGAAACAGAGGTGGAGGGAGGCATCTATGGACCAGGGAATGGATTTCAGGGGCTGAGGGAACAGATGAAAACAGGGTTTTCACAGCATGAAAATGGAGGTCTCCTCACAGGAGACATGCACATTTCTAACAGCACACAGGGCCCGCATACCGATGTACTCGGCCGCCAGCACATTCTTGGACATACAAGCTCTACACAGCACTTCGCTCTACACAGCACTTCACAGAGACTCTGAACTCCTCTGTGCAGATTCCCAGAACACGCATCTTCAGAGAACACCCCCCCCACCCGCCCTCCACCCCTGCCATATCCACAGATCTCTGGCCCTCACCCATCTGTGCACACACAGACAGCTCCTCCACAAGAATGCAAATATAGAATTTATAGTACTTACTATGTGCATCAAACACTTTACATGTATTACCTCATTTTATTCTCATAACAACCCTGTGAGGTAGGTAATACTGTTACTGATAAGGAAAACTGAGGCACAGAGAGGTTTAGAAACTTTCTTAAGGTTTCAAAGATGGTGTATCCTGGTGTTTGGCTCCAGAATCTGAGCCACTTCTCTCCACGGCCTGTCACAGACATGGATAATTACAGTCATTCCTACAAGCATGCACAGATGCACCGAGACCCCATAAAGACACACAGAGATAGACGCAGCCCTCCTCCGAGTCATAGACCAACAAAGAGCTCTCCTCTATAAGAGAGACAAATTCACATAACCTCTTGGGTCCCCACAAAGATAAATTGCCACTTTCAACAATATCCAGATATATATTGCCACAATTTTCTAGATTCACCTAAGGAGAACCCTAAATTCCCTAAAATTTAGAACATTAAATTCCCTAAAACCCATTTCTGGATTGGGTTAGGGGTTCAGAAATGCTCAGCCTGTGAGGAGGAGGCAGAGAGTTCTCTCACCTTGGCATGGCCCGAGAGTGTGGTTAGCAAGTGGTGGTGGGCAACTCTCAGGGCTTTGCACTACCAGCCCTGGGACCTGTCATGGTGAAGGGGCGAGAGGGTGAGGCGTGAGGATGTGGGGTAAGGGAGCTGGCATCTGTATGGCCCAAGGCAATGAGGAGCCCTTCTGAACATCACCATGTGGCTCTGTCAGAGGAAAGAGAATGGGGAGAGACGGGAAAGAAGAGACAGAAACAAAGACTGAGAGATACAGAGACAAAGAAAATGAAACAGAGCCCACAGACATAAAGACAAAGACAAAAGGAATAAACCAAGACAAAGAGAGAAATACAATGTGGTATGCTGGTATACTGACTCTTAAAATGGGGAAAAAAAAAAAAAAAGGAAGAAGGCCCTGATATGTAGCATTTGCTCATTTCCATCGGGTAAATATTCCCATCAAAGCCGATTTCAAGTTACTGAAGTGACTTCCTGAAGGCTGGGCTGGGAAGAGATTCGCAGAATCAGCTCCCCTGAGCTAGTACTAGCTGGTTCCAGCACATCACTGCCAGAAAGAGACAAAGAGAAAGAGACAAACAGCAACAGAAATGAGAACTAGACAGAGTGACAGAGAGAAAGAAACAAAAAAAGAAAGGTGGAGATGAGGAGAAAGAGTCAGAGACAGATCCGGGACCCAAAAAAACAAAGACAGGGGAAGTAGGTTGGGGCCTGTCTGCTCAGGCCTCTGCTTGAAAATAGCTCCCAGGTGGCCTCCCTGGTGGCACAATAGGTTGAGCACAGTGCTGTGAAGCTGTCTGCAACCTCTGCAGCGGAGGTTCGATTCCCGGCTGGCCAGGGAGATCCCCACATGGTGTGGCAGCTGCTCCCCTCATGTCGTGTCCGCTGCTCCCCTCAGCAGTGTATTTCGGTCCGTCTGCCTGTTCTGCTCCCTGCTCTGTCTCTGGTGAATCCTCTCACCCTCCCACGCCTCTGGCCTGTACCCCAGCTCTTGTATAAAAATAAATAAATCTTTAAAAAAAAAAAAAGAAAATCGCTCCTAGGACTTAGCAGTCCTAGCCTGGCTCCGATCCCAACTACATGCCACCAATTCATTTGACTTCCTAGAAGTCTGAGTGGCAACAACTATGAGTTAAACAAAAATGCAAATATATGAAACACCTATATATAGCACCTGGCATTGTGCCCAGCAACTCCCATACATGATTACAGCTTGCAAGCCTATAAGGTAGATTTCATTATTACGCTGATTTTACAGATAAGGAAACTGAGTCACAGAGATGTTAAGTAATTTCCCCAAGATGACAAAACAAGGGGAAGCTAAAACACAATCCCAGCCATTTGGCTCCAAAACCCAGGGTAAGCATTGATTGATTTGTTATCCTAGGAGAGGCAAAAATATGTGTCCCTTGTTGAGTACCTACCTGTCCTAATGCTCTAAATCCTCACAATAGCTCAGAGAAGGAAAACGAGACCTGCCCGGGGTCTTGCAGGCAAGCACTGATTTTCATAGGCCTTAGAACCCGAACCCAGTTGCCTCTTCAGCGCTGAACTTGGCTGCCTGCTAACACCAGAGAAAGAATAGCTCAGCATGGCCCTGGCATCTAGTCACTGCAGGACTCAGCTCTGTTTGTGAATATGCCTCTTGAACATCTATTTGACAGGACTTGACTTCCAGAACCTCGACTGGGTGAAAATCAGGGGGTGAGTGTCAGAGCTAGACCATGATGCTTCCCACCTTCAACCTCTCCTTCTGTGTGGCCCTAGGCTCTGGGAGCTCGGCTGATTGACATAAATTTCTGAATCTTAGTTTTTATGTCTGTACTTTCTGAGCTGTTTGGAGAAGGCTTGATGAGCTGTGGCTCTGGCCCAGCGTGCAGTGACCAAGGAAGGCTGAGAACCACAAGCAGCAAAGCCAGAGTGGCCCGCAGGGACCATTTATCAGTCCGCCCTCCTCTAGTGTGCAGGGGGGAAATGACTGGTTGGAGGTCAAACAGCCAGACAGGCGATTCAAAACCAGGGCTATTAATTCAGGTCTGGGGTTGTTTCCCACGCGGTGGCTGCGTTCTCCAAAGCCTGAGTGGGAGGTCACGCTGCCCCTTGCTGGCGAACCTCATATTTTCTTTCTTTCTTTTAAAGATTTATTAATTTATGCATACAAGAACTGGGGTATAGGCCAGAGGTGTGGGGGTGAGAGGATTCACCAGAGACAGAGCGGGGAACAGAACAGGCAGATTGACTGAAATACACTGCTGAGGGGAGCAGCAGGTGAGACAGGAGGGTCTGCTGTGCCATGAGGGTCAGCTCCATGGCCGGGGATCTAACTTGTGCTACAGTGGCTGCGGACAGCTTCAGAGTGCTGCATCTTAACCCCTTGCACCACCAGGGAGGCCCTGAACCTCATATTTTCTACCCAACCCATGGTCCACTATACCACCTTAGCCATGTGGCAGCTGGCCAGTCAGCATGGAGCCTGCTACCTACCCCCTACTCCTAGACAGAGGAGCCCCAGGCCCATCCCTCCTTTCTTGAGGTACAAAGCCATGTGAGGACTTTGATTAAGATACAGGATCTCCTGTCCCCACTACCTCTGCCTAGTATCTCTGGGGTCTATAGACAGATTCAGGCTTAAATTCTACCCGGGCTGACAGGTAGGCTGAGTGACTGGGCAAGTTCACCTCTGTGAGTTGGTTTCTTTGCTTAAGAAAAGGTACATAAATCTCCCTCATGGGGCTGCTTCTGAATAGCCAGTGTGGTCAAGTTCCTGAAAGCACCAGCGCACAGTAGATGCTCAGCAAACTTCTACTTGTGCTCCTTTCCCTCCCTAAGAAAGGCCCCTACAAGACCCTAGAAATGGGGGTGACAGAGCCCAGAAGAAGAAGTTCCCAGGGTGAGGTGAGAGGTCTGAGTTGGCTCAGCCTTGTGGGGATTTCATCACAAGGTAACTGGGACTTGGGGCCATAGCAGGAAACCACTATCCTGCAAGAGTTTCCGGCTTCTCCTAGTGGCTCTGGGCTGACCAGGGGCAGGGTGCAAGTCCCAGTGCCACCGCACCCCATCCTTCTCCAAACCTGACCCCAGACCTGACTGAAGGCTTCCATTCCTCCCTTACTGAGACTGTTCCCTGCCACTGAGCTCCAGTGCCTTCCTGAGTGCCCACCTCACTGAGGGCCCCACTTCTCGCTGAACTTCCAACTATTTCATCCCAACTTTTCTTAAGGCCTTACCACCACCCCTGAACACCCAGGGACGGAGACATATCCAGATCTGAGTTTACCATCCTGGTAGGGCCAGATGTGGGGGACAGCGGGGGAAGGGGGGAGGGTGGCCAATCTTTGCCATATTAGTTTTACTTTCACATGTTCCTGAAGGTGTTTTTCTCCATTTCTTGCGGGTAATAATGTTTCCTCACGTGTTGCAGAAAACCCACTCACCAGTCTCTAAAACAGTGGTCTTTAAGGGGTTTGAGAGATAGAGCCATGGTTGTCCAAGGGACTCTGAGGGAGTAAGACTGTAGACTCCAGGTTGGCACCATCTTAGGCCAGCCTTGTGGGGGCTCTGTGCACAAAGGGCCCTAGTTCTTCCTCAGTTCTGGGGTCCCCCTACTCAGCCTCCCAAGGTCTGCCCACTTCCTTTGCCACATCAGCCCCAGGTGGCTGCAGAGAACATCCAAACTCCCACACACGTACTCCCACGCTCATGCTCATTCACTCAAAGCTCAAGCCAGTCTAGCAAACACTCATACGCTCGCTCCCAGCTTCACCCCTACTGGGGAACCGGAACCGGTTAGGAAGCCCACGAACCCCCTACTTTCTTCCAACCTCTCCCTTTTCCAGAGGACCACATGGGTAGGATTTGGTAGCAGTGATGGGGGTACTCAGGCCTCAGCGCTGGTTATAAAGGGACAAGATGCTCGGGACTACGGTCCTTCCCGCTGGCCCAGTTGGTCACTGACTCCCTAAATGTGGGTGGAGCGGGACCGACGGGGGCTGCGCAGGCAATGCACCCAACAGCTGCCAAGCGCTGGCTCTGCCTCTCCGCCCTCTTGTTGCCATGGAGACAGCCCTCGGGCAATCGCGGTGAAAAGCAGGATTTCCGTCGGGGCGGCCAGCAATTCCCGGATCCCGAGGGGAGCGCGGACCCAGAGCAGCACTGCGGCCTGGGAGGGGGCACCCAGAGAGGCCCATCCCTGCTAAGGGCGGTGACTTCCCCAGGAAGCCGGGACCCACGCCTCTAGCTCCTTGAAGGGGTCCCCCAGCATCCGGGACCCGCCCACCAGTGCCGGCCGGCCGGGAGGGTCTCGGGGCTGCCCTAGTGGCGGGCTCCCCTCCACTCCGGTACAGGCTTCGCCCCGCACTGCTGCCGATTCGCTATTGGGAGATTTCCTGGACCCTTGGAATTGCACCCCACATACTGAGTTCTCTGGAAATGGTTCTCTGACCCCCTACCCCGCTTCTCGCAGACTCCCTCACCTGATCCTCCCCCGCCTTCCCCCCTCCCAGCCCCCTCGGCTTCTCCCGATCCTCACTCTCCAGGTCTCCGCAATTTCTCCCTCAGACCTATTTTGGGGGGCGTTCCCTTAGTCCCTCTAACTTGACTCAGTCCCCCCTTCCCAAATCCTGCCAATCTCACTCTACAGGTTCCCTCTGTCTTTCCCACCATACTTTTTTGGGGGAACCCTTTAGTCTGCTTTCCGGTGTTCTCATTTCCCCCCAAATTTTGTCCGTGCCACTCTCCTCAACTCCCCCCACCTCCCCCACCCCCCCCCCCGCCCCGCCTGCCCGCCCCTTTGTCCTTTTCCGGCCAGCACCGCTTCGACTCCCAACTCCCTCAGCAATCTTCGCCAAGTTCAGGTTTGCCACCCCGGCTTGGGTCCGAGGCTGCGGGCGGGCCGGGGGCGGGGCACCGCGCTGCCCACCCCGCCCCACCTGACGGCCACCTACCTGGTCCCAGGGGAGGTCGCTTCCGACAGACCCCAGGGTGAATCAGCCTGGTATCTCAGCAACCGCGAGTGCCGACGTGTGGGGGCTGTAGAAAACTGGGGTGCTGCGGGCCCCAGACCTCCGCCCCCTCCGAGCAGGGAGGAGGAAGCCGCCTTGGACTTCTGTTATTGCGGAGGCTGTCACAGCGGCGGCGGCCACGGGGAGAACTCGCGGTCACGCTCCAGTCCCAAGCCTGCTGCCTGCGGCGGGGAGGGGCCCTCAAATTCCTGGCCCGCCTGTCCCCACTTGCCTCCTCCCCCGGGTTCCAGGGGCGGGGGTCGGCTCTTCCAGGCCTCTCCTTGCACCCCAGCTCCTCCCCCAGACCCGATCCCCCAGCACGGTCTTTTGTAAAGGCCCCCTCCAAAGGGGCACCTCCTCACCCCGTGGAGCACCTGCTCCCTTAGATTCAGTGCATTTGAGGATGAGAGAGGCTTTTTTGTATCACTGAAACCCCCACCCCCTCTTTTGCAGCTGGGAAAACAGGACAGATGGGGACAGCCCTTACCCAAATTCTCACATCCAGTTGTCTTCAGACTGCTGTGCCCACAGCCACTGTGGATCCAGTCACTTGCCTTGTGACTGGGGCGGGCTCTGAGGGCACGGGGATGTCCCATGGTGGGGAGTATTGGGACACCCTTCCTTTGGGAAACCACTTCTCAGAGGAATCAGCCCTCAGGCCACACTGTGTATGGGGGAGGGGGGAATCTGCTTCCAACACGCACACTCTGTTTAGAAAGGCTGAGTATCATCCTCTATCACAGTTTCAGCCTTTCCAATTAATAGGGGTCCCTGACCACCACCACCCCCACCCCAACCTTCTTCAGTCTTAAAGGAAGGACCAGGAAAATCTCTCCTGATTGGGAGGGGACACGGTGTGTAAGAATGGATGCCTGTGTGTGTGTGATTGTAGGCAATGAACACGAAGACTGCAAATTCGGAATCAATAACTGGGACACACTAGGCAGACACACATATTTCTATGTATGAGCAAAAGACGTATGCAAACGTCTGTGTGTGTGTGCATGCACACACTAAGGTGTGTTCCATTGTGATTGTGGGGTGCCACGGGGCAGAGGGATGCAGATAAGAATGCTTTTGTCTCAGGAAAGTGGGGGGAGGATGGGGAGGAAGGCACAGGGGTGGAGGTGCAGAGACTTTGTCCTCACCCTGGCTGGGCAGCATCACCTCCACCATCAAGCACTCCCTGACTGGCTATTGGTCCACATGCACGATTAACAAGCGAACAAACACTTATCTTGGCCTGTCAGGGACACAGAGACAAAAGAGACTGCCCCTGGCCCCCCTCCCCGCCACCTATCAGCCTCTCTCTGTCATCCTCCAAGGCCTGGCTCCTCAGGAGGCCTTCCCTAATTGCCACTCCAAGCCCAGCAGAGCATTCAGTACCTTCTGCAGGGTGGCCACTGGTTCCTGGAGTGTAGAGATGTGGAATATATTTTCCCCAAGGGCAAGGACGGGGTCTGGCTCTTGCTAGTGCCCGAGGGTCTGTCCCGGGGTGGTGGGTTCTCTGGGTACAGGAATGCATGAATCAATCAAGGAACAAAGAAATCCACAGGTGAACAAATGAAAGCCCAATGGAAAAATAAGTAACTGAAGGGAAGACTTAAAGAGGAATGAAGAAATTCAAGAACAAGTGGCTGTAAAAGCAAATAAACCAATAAACAAAACTGCTTCTGCTCTTTAACATACAAACTGAGCCACCTAAACTCCTTGCTTAAGACCCTCTAATGGCTTAACTCCCATTTTGCTTGAAATAATAAAAAATAAAATAAAATAATACAGGACTAAAATGCAAACCTTTGTCATGGCCTTCTTTGGTCTGTGTGGCTGGCCTCTGCTCACCTCTTCAGCCCTGTCTGGGGCCATCTCCCATTTCAGTCACATTGGAATCCTTTTCAGTTCTTAGAATACACTGAGTTTTTGGGACTCCCGGGTGGCGCAGCGTTTGAGCGCTGGGTTGCGAGGCTGCCCGCGGCCTCTGCAGCGCCAGTTCGATCCCCGGTCTCCGGAAAGGATCCCACATGGCGCGACAGACCTCTCCTGCCGCCCACTGCTCCCCTCAGCAGTGTATTTATTTCGTCTGTCTGCCTGTTCTGCTTCTGGCTCTGGTGAATTCTCTCACCCTTCCATGCTTCTGACTGTACCCAGTGCTTGTAAAAATAAATAAATAAATCTGTTAAAAAAAAAAAAAAAAGAATACACTGAGTTTTTGTCTCAGGACGATCTCACATGCTATTTCCTCTTCTCAAGACATTCTTCTAGTTCTTCACAGTACTGGCTCCTTTCTGTCCTTTAGCAGAGGTATCTTTTCCTCAAAGAAGCCTTCCCTGACCACCACCTTCGTGGCAGCCAATTCGTCTCCTTCATGGTCGTTGTCATAATCTAAAAATGTCTCTAGGTCTCTCTTGACCAGAATCAGGATTCTGGCCTCAAGAGAAACCTGTTATGGGCCTCCCCCGTGGCGCAGCGGTTGAGCGCTAGGTTGCGAAGCTCCCTGCGGCCTCTGCGGTGCCGGTTCGATCCCCGGCTGCTCCCCGGCCACAGGAGGAGGGTCCCACATGGCGCGCAGACCTCTCCTGCCTCCCGCTGCTCCCCTCAGCAGTGTACTTCGGTCCTTCTGCCTGTTCTGCTCCCGGCTCTGGTGAATTCTCTCACCCTCCTGCGCTTCTGACTGTACCCAGTGCTTGTATAAACAAAACAAACAAACAAACAAATAAATAAAAACATACCTCTATTAAAAAAAATTAAAAATAAAATAAAATAAAATAAAACAATTCTGAAAACTGAAAACAAAAATCAAAGTCCAGCAGCCTTCCAGGACTTCTGATTTCTCCTCTAGCCACCACTCTCCTACTCTCACTTCTGTTTTAACCACCTTGCGGTCTGTTGTCAGTCCTTTATCCTCTTTTGCACTGCCTTGCCCTCTTTTTCCTCCAATATACTTGCCTGGAAACACCAGCCTGGAGGAATCCAACCAGCCACCTTCTCTGGGTGCGGAAGAGAAAGCCACCTGCCAGGCAAAGTCACAACTCCTGGCCTCCAAAGGACATTACTGAGGCCCAGCAATGCTTATCCCAGTAAGCGGGCCCTGTGTGTCCAACCAGATGACCAGTTCTCACCCTTTCGTCTGTCTTCCAACTTCCAGCTCCATCCCTCCTTCTCCCCCTTCCCCCTTTACACTGGCACTGTAAATCCCCTCTCCTCATGAGGACTTCGCACCTGTAGCCCCTCTTCTGCACATTCATCTCTCCCTCTCCATAGAATTATCCTCGCAGCACACAAACAGGTTCTAGAATTTCCCATTTAAAAAGAAAAAAACAAAAACCTTCCTTCCCTTGGAGAATTAAGCATTTATCCTGCTTTTTTTTTTTTTTTTTTTTGAGGAACTGCAGCTCATTCCCAGTTGGTGAGGGAGAGCTTTTTCTTTGTAGAAAATCACCAGCGAATACACTAGAAGGAATGTGAGAACTAGAAAAACTCCATTTTGCAGCCCCAATTAGATCGATTTAGGCAAGAATCATTCAAGATGGATCAGCATGGGCAGCCATAGAAAAAGAGCATAGACAGTGGTTTAAACAACAAACATTTGTGCGTTAGGGTTCTGGAACCTAAACATCCTGGATCAACATCTGGCAGGGTGGGCTTCAGGCAAAGCCTCTTTTCCAGGCTTGCAGACCACAGCCTTCTCACTGTGTCCTCATGGGGGAGGGAGAGAACAAACATGCTGGTGTCTCTTCTTCCTGAGGACATCAGTCTTATCAAATTAGGGCTACACCCTTATCTCATTGTCTGTCTCCAAATACAGTCACATTGGGGGTTAGGGATTTAACATATCAATGGGGGGGCACAAATTGTTCACAGCAAACACCAAAACCACTAGGTGAAAAGTTTCAAAGGACAGAAGGTTCACCCAGTGTGCAAGCAGCACAGCTAGCAGTTTGGTATTGGCAAAGAGGATGTCTCCTTTACATTGTTGAGGTGCGGCAGACACCACAGAGCCAGTATGCTGGGTGGCAGTGTGCGCCACTGCATGTGATGACTATCAAGTTTACACCACCACGATGAAGAATTCTTGCTTAGCAGATGCTTCACGTAGTTCCAATCAAGGGGTTAGCAATCTATGGGTTGAATCCGACCCTCAGTTTTTGTGCAGTTCATGAGCTAAAAATTTTTTTCTATGGTTCAAAAAAATCAAAGGAAGGGCCTCACCACCAAAGATGGTGCAGGGGGTTGGGACACAACCTATGAAGCGGTCCACTGCCGCTGCAGCATGAGTTCGATCCCCGGCCAGGAGCTACCCACATGGTGCAGCAGACCTCTTCTGGTTTGCCCACTGCTCCCCTCAGCAGTGTACTTCAGTCAATCTGCCTGTTCTGTTCCCCACTCTGTCTCGGTGAATCCTCTCACACCCCACATCCCTGGCCTGTACCCCACTTCTTGCATGCATAAATAAATAACTCTTCAAAAAAAATCAAAGGAAGAATAATATTGCGTGACATATGACAAGTATGCTAAATGCAAATGTCAGTGTCCATAATAAAGAAAATTATATGGAAACACCATATTGTCTTTGGCTACTTTCATGTTCCAAGGGCAGAGCCTAATCATCACAGCAGAGACTGCATGACCTTCAAAGCCAAAAATATTTACCTTCCATCCCTTGACAGGAAAACCTCTACTCTCAACCTAACTTCCACTTATAAGAGAAACAGGATTTAAAGGAATAAAGTGAATGACACTAGGAGAGAAACTTTAGGTTCATCTACAACCTGGAACATTCTTCTAGATAACTAAGTGGGCTGGTCATTTAAGAAAACATAGGAAACAAATGAATGAACTAAATGAGAACAAACTGGTGGTTACCACAAAGGAAGGGGGAGGTAAACTGGGCCAAAGGGGTCACTGATATGGTGATAGATGGAAACTAGCCTTCTGGTGGTAAACAAAAGGTAGGAGGTACATATGTTGATTTCAAAGTCTGTATTCCTGCATCCTATATCATGATAGTCAATTGAAAGAAAAATATTTGGGCCTCCCTGGTGGTGTTAAGATGCCAGGGAGCAACCCACATGGCGCAGCAGACCTCTCTTGACTCGCCCGCTGCTCCCCTCAGCAGTGTACTTTGGTCAGTCTGCCTGTTCTGTTCCCTGCTCTGTCTCTGGTGAATCCTCTCACCCCCCATGCCTCTGGCGGCCTGTACCCAGCTCTTGTATGCATCAATAAATAAATCTTTAAAAAAAAAAAGAAAAATATTATTCAATTAAAAGGCAGGATGGGTGAGACTGTTCTATCTTCAAAGAGACATCACCATCAATTGTAATGTGTCAAACTCGATTAGGTATTTTTTTGGGGAAAGATCTAACTGCCATTGTGCGCATTGGTGACAGTGTTCTCACTCCTTCCTGGCCTTGAAGCTCCACGAATTCAGGGGCTTGTCGCTTACTCTACCCAGTACCTTGCAAGTGCCTGGCACCTTGTCGATGCCCCATAAATGTTAGTTGAAAACAAAATGACAGAAGGAATAGACTTTGTTCAGGGGACTTTTGCAGAGGAGGGAGTGCCTGTGTGGATTCTTCGGGATCAGTAAGCGATTAGTCATAGGTGAAACCCATAGGTGAAAACTCAGTGGTTTGGGGCCCAGGA